GCTCTTCTGATTTCTTTTTCCATTCACATTTCAGACCTTACCTCCTTGCATCTTCTTTTCAAAATCATTTTCTTCACCTTTAGTGAATCTCCAATTTTGTCTTAAATTCTCTTGGGTAACAATCTTCCTTTTGTAGTGTAACCTCTTGTAGCAAAGTTCCATTAATTTTGCTTTAATCCCTTCTGTCACATTTCTCTTCATTTAGGCCGTCTCTCATTCAGCACTTTTCTTCACACTTGAAGAGATCTCATGTCCCCAGCTCACACACACCCCCACCCCCCAAACTTGCCGGCCAGATGTCATAGTCGCCCTTGGGTACCTGTTGGCTAGGCCTCCCCGCCAGCCCGGCAGCAAGTGAATAGATGCCACTTGTACTCGCAGCCAGCAACAATATGCTCACCAGTCAGGGGCTAGAAAATTGTGTCTACTTTATATATAATGTTCAAAGTGATGCCAACTTTTGAGCTTTAAAACTATCAGTGGCTTAATATTGTATGATCTCTGATTATACTGTTATAGATTATTTCCTGATATGACTTGGGCATGAGTGACCATATGTTCATTATTGTTAGTCATAATGCCCAGAAAATTGTATGGTAACACTCCCTTTATTTGTCGGGTTTTATGTTTAAAAGTGCTTAAAAGTGAGACATTTTGACTTGGGCTTCTTAAATTTGATCATTCATAAGGATAGGAAGTGTCCTCATTTTATTGTAATGTAAGCTAATCTCTGTAAGCGACATTATGATTGCCTAACATTATTAGACGTTTGTCTCGCACAGGTGCGGCAACTTGGCTCTTAAGTCTGCACTCTTTTGCCAAGTGAATTAGAGGAAAATTTTCTCAGGACTTAATGTTGGGAGTTGGTATATTATTTAAGTATTATGTCTCTTGATTGGATACCTTTGTACTGTCATTATTATGGTATTTCATCAATAGACTGTTCATGTATTGAGAAGATTTTTTTATTTAAGGTAAACATACAAGTCTGTATTGTAATTTGTAGATACCTGTAATTCATTAAGCAAGAGAGTGCAGCCATGCCCTCTCAGTATAATAGTCTCATCTGTTCACTTGCTTGCACAACACCAAAGCCTCGTCAGTCAGAGAATAGAAAAGTATTTATCAACCCTTGCTGACCCTGTATATAGGATTGACATGACCCCTTTTATTTTCTGTCCTTTAATTTATATACAATTTAATTTTCCCAACTAATGAATGACTGGAGTAGTCGTTAAAGGGCAAAGTTTGTGAATGGCTAATGAAATCGCCGGTCACTTATGCAAGAACACGTGAAACAGGACACACTTCTTATATTCTGTCACGGATGAGTGGAATGGCATGGAATATTATAAATAGTGATTCTTCTATGTGAAGTTAATATTGTTGACAGATGAAAGGACTAAATAAAGATTTTATGTTTGTAGTTGGTATACTTAACCCATTACTTTAAGTAATAAACAGCAGTGTGTAACCATAAGATGTGTCAAGTTTCCTGTTGGAATCCTAAACAAATAATGGCAAGTGCACTTACATACAGTATTATTAACTGGAAGTATAATGTGGGTTCTTTTTTGACTACTGTGTGGTCTGGTCAACATACTTTATTGTGACTCATTGCCTGCATGTGGGTTCTTGAAAATGGAAAAAGATATTGCTAAAAAATATAAGATAACGTGAAAGTACATCTAAAAGGGAGTTAGGCAGGTGTGAAAGGATGGACATAATCAAGCACCCATTTTGGAAATTGCTTTCACATTGCAATTTAAGCAAAACTAGAAAAGGGTAAAAGATGGACAATAAATAGGACAGTTGATGTCGGAAACGATTTTTTGCAAATGGAATGGATTAGAAGCTAACTCTATACACAGTTTTAAATGTAAATGTGATAGGAAACTCAAGAGAAGTCATTACATTAAACTAGTAAAAGATTTTAAATGTGATTCTTAACCCTGCAAACACACAGTTGGTCAAAAAAAAGTATCAACCTAAAGAAAATTTATATGATGAAGCAAATGGCTAAACTGTACTGTACTGTACATCCATGTGTCATGGAATATACAGTAACAAAATATGGTGAAAAGTGGTCATGGCTCTAACACTGCTACCTTTAACACTTTAACACCACCATAGAGAAACTGCAAACGGAGTTGAGTAGGAGTAACAAACTTCTGGCAGACATCAGGACTGATGAATTCAAGTTAATGAGCCAAGGCAGGGATGTGAGTCCATGAGCTTAAGGCAAGGGTTCAAGGTAGTAGAGGAAGGTAAAAATGCAAATGATGCAACAAGCAAGATGAAAAAAAGTGGAGAATGCAATATAAAAATGGGTGCAATGGAATAATTTGTCGATGTAAAAATTATTTGCCAGTCTTCTGACCATTTGTGAAGTTCATATGGATCTCTCTGTATGGCTTCAATATCATTTTTATTATCTATTTTACCATAAATGTTTGTGTCATCTGCAAATTTGATGAAACGGAACCGTTATCAGGAACGGTTGAGAGCCGCAGGGCTAACAACACTGCAAATCAGGATGACACGGCGAATCTCACTTAAACTTTTTAAATACTGAACAATTTGGAGGATGTTAGTCTAGAAAATTTCCAAAAGGTCAAATGTAACAAATATGAAGCAACGGTTTCAAGCTCAACATGCCACAATGTTGGACTGAGAACAGAGAGAGGCTTTCTGTGGGGAGCCCTGTCGGCTCCCTGAAGCTATCCGAACTGTGATATGTGATATATTAGTTTGGGGTCATCAGCCTGGAGTCCTTATGCTTACCGGGAACCACGAGCCAGAACCTGGTTCCATTGGAGAGGCGCGCAGGGAGCAATGGCCTATGAGCACTTTATATTTAAGGTACTGTATGTCATAATTGCAATCGACCGGAGAGGGCACCTAGAAACCCATAGGCGAAACAAAACAAACCACAATCTGGTAAAAATTGCAACCTACGTCCGAACATAGCAAAAGAAGTCCCCCCAGAAAGAAAATCAATAAGCAACACTTCATCCAACTAACACTCCTGCTCGTTAGTGTTGTGTGTGGGTTGGGGGGGGGGGGGGGCCCACCACTGTTCTTGAAGTGATGTGCTCAGAGCCATCTTAACCACATGTCCCCGATGGTCCCCACGAGCATAGGTCATGCTCATTATGGAAGCAGACTGTTTAAGTATTTGGGTCTTGTTGCAAGCACACTTATATAATATAACCCTACATCCTGGCGAGGGACTACATAATTAAGATATATATTTCCAGGTGAGTAACTCTTTCAGCAGAAATGAAACATAATGTTTTGAGTGAAGCACAGAAGAGGAGAGATCTGCAGAGGAGGAGAAAACTTTCAAAATTAATATCGTGGCTCAACAGCCACTCATACCTTTCCTTCAGATAAAGCATCCACTTCTGCAATGTCAGCCACTACTAATGTTCCTTCAGATATAGCATCCACATTTACATCTATTCCTGCTACCAATCAACCAGTTTCAGCAGACACCATCATTGCCTGATGCTGCTCTGGTGACATTTTACAAGAGGAAATATCCAAATTTGTAACAGCAAAGGAGTTTGCAATCCAAGAGATAGGTCCGGGACTCTGGAACATTAATTATACTAACACAATAGCTTACTGGTTTCGTAGTGGACCCTCATCATGTCAGAATCATGATAACAACCTTTCAAACTCACGCAGGGTGTGTAAAACAGCTGGAGTAGAGAATATGAAGTTAGCTGCCGAAACGCTATGCGTGTTAGTGGCTTTACAAGAATGTAAAATATCAGTGCTTTGTACGCTCATAAACCCAATGTACCTTCTTGTATATAAATAGGTAAATGTTGGTTTAGTTAATTTATTGTGCACCTCATACCCATCTTGTGGGCGGTAGTGGAAAGGGTTACAGAGACACGTGATGGGCACAAGGACTGAACCCAACAATTCATTTAGCTAAGCAAGTTACAATCTTGATAAGCTAGTTACAAAATTCAAAACTCATTGTCACATCAACACTGGGCTCGAGATCGACCACAAGTACAGTTTCTAAATCAAGCAACTGACATGTGTGGAGAGCCTAGTGTCACAATTGATATGTTTGTCCTGCACGCCGCCCCCATCCAGTGGGCAGCGGTGGATAGGTTACAATCACTTAATTACTATCTACAGTTAGAAAACTGCGGATATTTGGCTAAAATTTCTGGTAGCAGATCATTTTGAATTATATAGTTACACATCTCTGGAACATTTGTTATAGACTTGTCTCTTCACGCATCTTTTCGTACTCCATCACATAGTGTGGTGATGGAGTACGAATAATTTTGTTGACACAGTTTACATTTGGTCAGGTCTACATCAGCAGATAATGAGAATTCCCAGAGATACTTGTAACCGAGTCTAAGCCGAGCAGTAGTAGCATCTAGAAGTCTGCAGATTTTATTGGATGAACCATAGATGTGGGGCTCCTCTTGCATGATAGATGGAATTACGGTGTCGATTTCACTTTGCCTTAGAGCTAAAAGATTTTGGTTACAAGACTGAATAAGTAATTTTATTGAGTTCTTTAAGACAATTGAGTTCATTAAGGGAATCAAATCGCAGAACCAAGGAGGTGAGAGAGTAAACACGCTATAGGATCACAACATACAAGATATTAGAGGATATAGACAAGGACAGCCTCTTTAAATTTCTTTAAATTGAGAGAAAATAGAAAAAAGTACTTGAATGGAAGCTGAAAATTAAAATGAATCAAAGAAATGTAAGGAAACGCTGGAAGGAGAAGTCGTGTGATCCACCACCATCCACAACCTTAAGGTCATGTTTGACAAAGAATACAACTGACAAGACAATAAAAAAAACGCAACAGGTCTAAGAAAGCAAGTCGGCTGGGCATAAAAAAGTAAAGCTCATACCCATGTAATCACTGTGAACTCCGCACCACATTTAACACCATAACTATACCACCCACACATCGACCTCCCTTCTTCCTGAACCAGTGTGGAGCAGGAGGGCGCCCAGACCAGACGTCCCCATGAATGTCTTGTATAAACCGTAGTCTCTGTGGACATAGTTTGACAAGGACCTAGTTCTTGGCACTGTCAACAAGTAGACAAGTAGAAGTGCAAGGAGGCTTGTGTGGTGGTTGGTGTGGCTGCTGTAGGCAAGGTGAGTACTCACCCACCTAGTTGTACTCACCTAGTTGTGTTTGCGGGGGTTGAGCTCTGGCTCTTTGGTCCCGTCAATCAACTGATGTACAGATTCCTGAACTTGTAAGTGGTGGGTTATCAGTGCTGAGGAAGGAGAGGACCGTGGGTGTCACGCCTCGCCCCTATATGTGATCCAGGCACATAATAATGTGTGGTTACATTACATTGTATATATATACATGATATAGCATTGCAATTATTCTATAAGGCCGTTAATCACGCCTGCGCTGGTGTGGTCTTTTTATTCACGACGAATGTCATTTTTATCCTTGGGTTACTATAGTGTGCTCGTCACTGCTCAGTAACTGCAAGCTTTCAGCTCAATTCCAGTCGTATACAATGAATCTTACTGTGACAAGCTGGCATTCCGCTCTCAACACGCTGACTATAAAGTTTTGTTGTATTAAAGTGTATGCTGGCACGCGCACATACGTACGTACGTACATACATACATACATACATACATACATACATACATACATACATACATACATACATACATACATACATACATACATACATACATACATGTATGCATGAATATACGAGTGTATACATAAAATAGAAAAAAGTTAATAGTAATTTTTTTCAATGAGGGAAGTCTGGACGGTGAGACACGTGTGGGTAAACACCTGCACGAGTAGGAACACTGTTAGGTATAGTGAGAGAGGTAAACACTGTTAGGTATAGTGAGAGAGAGGTAAACAATGTTAGGTGTAGTGAGAGAGGTAAACACTGTTAGGTATAGTGAGAGAGGTAAACAATGTTAGGTATAGTGAGAGAGGTATACAATGTTAGGTGTAGTGAGAGAGGTAAACACTGTTAGGTATAGTGAGAGAGGTAAACAATGTTAGGTGTAGTGAGAGAGGTAAACAATGTTAGGTGTAGTGAGAGAGGTAAACACTGTTAGGTATAGTGAGAGAGGTAAACAATGTTAGGTATAGTGAGAGAGGTAAACAATGTTAGGTGTAGTGAGAGAGGTAAACAATGTTAGGTGTAGTGAGAGAGGTAAACAATGTTAGGTATATTGAGAGAGGTAAACACTGTTAGGTATAGTGAGAGAGGTAAACAATGTTAGGTGTAGTGAGAGAGGTAAACAATGTTAGGTATAGTGAGAGAGGTAAACAATGTTAGGTGTAGTGAGAGAGGTAAACACTGTTAGGTATAGTGAGAGAGGTAAACAATGTTAGGTGTAGTGAGAGAGGTAAACAAATGGAACACGCGTTGATCAGACAGTGTACTTACCTAGTTGTACTCACCTAGTTGTGCTTGCGCAACCCATCCTCCGAATTGACAGTACGATTTAATACTAAGTGTAATAAGTACACTTTCTTACTGTAATAAGCAGTGCATAATTGCACTTATGGGGCTGTTACATTGACCCAACTCCCTCCCCCGCTTTAATTCTTCTCGTTTTCTGTCAAGTCACTCAGAATTTTAGGATGACGTTTTCAATTCTGATTTGCAATACACAACTGCTATGAATAGTACATAATTGCACTTATTTGTCTTCTTACATTTACCACCCCATTTTTGGAGGACGGGCTGGCTTGCGGGGGTTGAGCTCTGGCTCTTTGGTCCCGCCTCTCAACTGTCAATCAACAGGTGTACAGGTTCCTGAGCCTACTGGGCTCTGTCACATCTACACTTGATGCTGTGTATGGAGTCAACCTCCACCACATCACTGCCTAATGCATTCTATTTGTCTACTACTCTGACACTGAACAAATTCTTTCTAACTTCTCTATGGCTCATTTGGGCACTCAATTTCCACCTGTGTCCTCTAGTGCGTGTGCCCCTTGTGGTAAATAGTCTGTCTTTATCTACCCTATCAATTCCTCTGAGAATCTTGTATGTGGTGATCATGTCCCCTTTAACTCTTCTGTCTCCCAGCGAGTGAGGTTTAATTCCCGTAGTCTCTCCTCGTAGCTCATGCCTCTCAGTTCGGGTACCAGTCTGGTGGCAAACCTTTGAACCTTTTCCAGTTTAGTCTTATGCTTGACTAGATATGGACGCCATGCTGGAGCCGCATACTCGAAGATTGGTCTGACATATGTGGTATACAAAGTTCTGAAAGATTCCTTACACAAGTTTCTAAAGGCCGTTCTTATGTTAGCCAACCTGGCATGTGCCGCTGATGTTATCCTCTTGATATGAGCTTCAGGGGACAGGTCTGGCGTGATATCAACCCCCAGGTCTTTCTTTCTCTCTCTCTGACTCTTGAAGTATTTCATCTCCCAAATGATACCTTGTATCTGGTCTCCTGCTCCCTACACCGATCTTCACTGCATTGCATTTGCTTGGGTTAAACTCTAACAACCATTTGTTCGACCATTCCTGCAACTTGTCCAGGTCTTCTTGAAGCCTCAAGCTGCCCTCCTCTGTCTTAATCCTTCTCATAATTTTGGCGTCGTCAGCAAACATTGAGAGGAATGAGTCTATACCCTCTGGAAGATCATTTACGTATATCAGAAACAGGATAGATTCAAGTACAGAGCCCTGTGGGACTCCACTGGTGACTTCACGCCAATCTGAGGTCTCACCCCTCACCGTAACTCTCTGCTTCCTATTACAGAGAAGTGTTGAAGCCACCACGATTAAACAGCTTAATAAATAATAATAAATAAATGTTTATTCAGGTAAAAGTACATACATAAAAGATGAGTTACAAAGATAATGTTGGATTTCTATATAGAGCTCGTGCATACTATGCCTAAAGCCACTGAAACGCACAGCGTTTCGGGCAAGTGAGGGGAAAACACTTGGACTAAAATTTAAAACTAATTGAGATCAAAGCATAAGTGAATTGGAAAAGGGGATAAAAAAAATAGTATTATAATAATTACGTGATGGCTGGAACAACAGAAAATGAAACAGAACAGCAGAAGTAACTTTAACAAAATAAACAGAAGACTACAATTCTCTTCAAGTCTATACATGGCGGATATCATCAGTTATACAAGTTGGTCAATAATCAATATTGTTTGAAAATAACAATACATAGGTCGACATTTAGGGGGTAAGGTAGGTTACATGGAGGTTATTAGATAGTACTTAGTTTTTCTCTTAAACTGGTTGAGAGAGGTACAGCCTTTGACATGATTGGGAAGGTCATTCCACATTCTGGGTCCCTTGATTTGTAGAGCATTTCTAGTTTGGTTAAGTCGCACTCTTGGAATACTAAATAGGTATTTGTTTCTGGTGTGGTGCCCATGGGTTCTGTTACAACCTTCTAGGAAGCGATTAAGGTCAGGATAGGTATGACAGTTCAGTTTTAAATATATTAAGTACACTTGAGAGGATGTGCAGTGACTAACCTTTTAAGACACACATCTTTGTCAGTGTAATGACAAACGTCAACTTATATTGTAGTTATTTGTATATATAATAACCTTGCTACAATGTACCCTTTCATCTTACCTGATATGTTAGATTAAGTACCTGCCCCGAAACGCTGTGCGTGTTAGTGGCTTTGCATGAATGTAAAAATATCAATCCTACGTAATCTCACACCCAATGTACCTTCTTGTAAAATAAATATTATTATTATCATTATTATTATCATTATTATTATTATTATTAGTAGTAGTAGTAGTAGTATTATAACAACATATTCAAAGATTTCAGTAAGAAGGTCGAGTGCTGTCTGGGGCCAGAGTTTGTTATTGTTCTAATAGTAGATTTGTGTTGAGTAATTAGAGGACGTAGATGACTTTGGGTAGTAGAAACCCAAGCACAGATACCATAATTGAGGTAAGGATGGATGAGAGTAATAGAGCATTATCAGGGCAGAGCGAGGTACATAGTATCTGATTTTAGAAAGAATGCCAACTGTTTTATAAAAATTTTTTGCTATATTTTGAATGTGGCCCTGGAAATTCAGCTTGTTTTCAATGAGAACACCAAGGAATTTTCCATATACTTTGTTACTAATTTGGATATTGTTAATTCTTAGATTAATGTGATCTGAGGATTTATTACCAAACAAAATATAGAAGGTTTTGTCAAAGTTAAGGATGAGTTTGTTAGCAGTTAGCCAAAGATGAACACATAAATCACACATAAATCACAATAGCGTGATACATCAAATGAACAAATCCACAAGTGCCGTGGTGAGGGTTCGAACCTACGTCTGGGATGATCCCAGACACGTCTTAGTCGATTGCGTCTTAGTCGATTTTTGTGTCTTAGAGAGGCTGCGGGATCCGTGTGAGGGCAGTAGCACTCCCGGTTGTAGTTCTTTTAACCATGTAGTGGCGCAATTGACTAAGGCGCGTCTGGGATCATCCCGGACGTAGGCTCGAACCCCTCATCACGGCCCTTGGGGATTTGTTCATGGACTTTATTTATTTAAATATTCAGTGTCATTCAAAATAAGAGGGTTAGGACTGGAGAAAATGAAGGTTGTGTCATCAGCAAATAAAATTGAATCGAAATGTTGAGAGGCATTTGGAAAGTCATTAATGTAGATGAGAATGAGGAGACTTCAAGAGCATGGGATGACTTGGAGCATATTATATAGTGTAATAGACGCTCCTGCCAGAGCCAGATGGTGGCTGCCTGCACACACGCAAGCACAGCGAGGGAAGTGTGTATATATATGAGGGTACGGATACAATCTTATTTTCAGGGGGTGTACTACACAGTAAGGAAAGATGGGTTATTAGACTTGATATAATAATGGGATGGTGTTTGGGCGAGCTGGTGAGCAGAAGAGGTAGAGTGAACGAGTTTACATCTGAGAAACATTAATGCTGTCGCCTTAGACGGATGACATACAGTTCGTCATGGATTACAAGCACATTTGGACACAAAAATGGTAAATATGAGCTACTTTATGCCGTGACTTAATGCCACAAATTATGCCGTGACTTTATGCCATAAGTTTATGCTGTGAGTAACTCACGGCATAAAAGACAGCTAAGAGTAAAAGATTACGAACAATGTGTTGCAGAGTAG